TTTTAAAAAAAAAAAAAAAAAAAAAGATGCTTCAATTTGTTAAAAAAAAAAAAAATGCAATATCTGTGAAGCATAATAAAATAAAGCACAATTAAACAAGGTATGCCTGTGCCTAGAGGTGCAATTGCTAGATCATATGGTAAGACTATGTTTAGCTTTGTAAAAAACTGCCAAACTGTCTTCCAAAGGGCTGTACTAGTTTGCATTCCCATCACCAATGAAGGAGCATTCCTGTTACTCCACATCCTTGCCAGCAATTTGTATTGTTAGTTATCTGGATCTTAGTCATCCTAATAGCCATCTAGTAGTATCTTGTTACTACTTGGGATTTAATTTGTAAACCCCAAGTGACAAATGATATTGAACTCTTTTAATGCACTTATCTGCCACCTACATATTATCTTCGGAGATGTGTTCACATCTTTTGAACATGCTTTAATTGGGTTGTTTGTATTCTTATTTTTGAATTTTAAAAGTTCTTTTTATATTTTGGATGCAAGTTCTTTTTCAAATATGTGTTTTGCAAATATTTTCTCCCAGTCTATGGTTTTTCTTTTGATTCTCTTAACAGTATCTTTCCCAAAGCAGAAGTTTTTAATTTTAATAAAGTTCAATGTATCAACTTATTCTTTCACAAATCATCCTTTTGGTGTATCTAAAAAATTTATCATGAAACCCAAGGACATCTAGATGTTTTCCTTTGTTATTGTCCAGAACTTTTATACTTTTATGTTCTACATCTAGGTCTATGATTCATTTTGAGTTAATTTCATGAAATGTGTAAAGTCTTGCATATGGATGTCCAATTGTTCAAGAATCATTTTTGAAAATACTGTCCTTTCTCCATTTAACTGCATTTACTTCTTTGTCAAAGATCAGCGACTATATTTGTGCAGGTCTATTTCTGGGCGCTCAAATCTGTTTCATTGATCTATATGTCTATTCTTTTGCCAAAACCATGCTGTCTTAATTATTGTAGATTTATAGGAAATCTAGAAATTGGGTATTGTGATTCCTCCAACTTTCTTCTTCTCCTCTTCCTTCTTATACTTCTTATTCTTCCGCATTACATTGGCTATTCTAGGTCTTCTACTTTTCCATGTAAATTTTAGAATTAGTTTCTCAATGGTTGCAAAATATTGATTGGAATTCCAATGAATCTATAGATTAAGTTAGGAAGAATTAATATCTTAACACTACTGAGTCTTCCAATCCATGAATACAGAATATCTATTTAGATTTTCTTGGATTTCTTTCATCAGAGTTTTAGAGTTTTCCACATATAAATTCTGTACATATTTTGTCAGGTTTATACCTAAGTGGTTCTTTTTTTTTTTTTTTTTGGTACTATTGTAAACGGTATTGATTGTTGAATTTCAAATCCCAGTTGTTCATTTCTGGTATATAGGAAATCAGTTGACTTTTGTATAGTTATTTGTGTCCTGTGCCCTTGCTATACTCACTTATTAGTTCCAGAATGTTTGTTGTTGTTGATTTGAGGGGATTTTCCACATTGACAACCATACCATCCGAAAACAAAGTCAGTTTCATGTCTTCCTTCCTAATTTGTATTCTTTTTATTTCCTTTCCTTGTCTTAGTGAACTAAGTAGGACTTTCAGTACAGTGGTAAATAGAAGTGGTGAGAGAACATCCTTAGTTTGTAACTGATCTTAGAGAAAAGGCATCCAGTTTCTCACATTATGATATTAGCTGTAGCTTTTTTGTAGATATTCTTTATCAAGTTGTGAGACTTATCCTTTATTCCTAAGATATACATTTTTTATATTCTTTCAAACTGTTTTATTTTCTCAAGTTCTAATAATTCTGCTATTTGTGGAATCACCTGACATTTGCTCATGGTTGATCATTTCCTTTTGTGCTTTGTAGTTTTGATTATGAAAGTTTGTTTTGTTTTTCTGTGGAATTCCTGTCGTCTGCTCACAAAGATGCACTCACATAGAAGTGATAAAGTCCAGCATGTCAATCACTGCATTCACTTAAATACATTCAGATTCCCTGAGCAGAATTTGGAAGCAAGTTACTTGTTCACTCTTTAATATTCTTTTAAAATCTTCTATCATTTCATGCAACTGGGGGACAAAGTTGGGTGGTAATAGACCTGGATAATAGACCTGGATACAGTTTCCTACTCAGCTTATTGGCTAGTTATACAATCTTGGCCAGTTAATCTGGACAGTTTCTTTAATTTCAAAAGTCGTTAATCTTAACATTTCTCTCTATAAAAATTAAAAATGGTGACATTCACAATTTCTTTTTGCTCAAAGAAGTTTAGAGAAGACTCAATATCTGAAGTTATCAATCTGTGAACTCCCTGAATAATGTTGTGAATAGATTCTAAGGTAGCCCCTGATCCCCACCTCCTGATGTTCATGCCTTTGTGTAAGCCCTGCTTTGTGAGTGTGGGCGGTTCCTGTGAATTGTGTCTGACAAACAATATGCCACAATTGATAAGATGTCACTCCTGTGATTATGTTCTATTATATGGCAAAGGTGCCGAGATGTCAGTCTGGTTACGTTGCATTATTTAGGACTCTGTCTTGCTTGCAGTATCTCTTTCTCTCTGTTGCTGGGTTTTAATAAGCAAGCTGCAATGAAACCTATGGCCACAAGGAATGCTTCTGACAACAACCTGAGGGATTGTGGTAGGAAATCCTTCCCCAATAAAGCCTGCAGATGAGAACTCAGTCCTGGGTGACACCGTGATTGCTGCTTTGTGAGACACTGAGGAGACCCAGGTAAGCTTTGCCCATACTCCTGACCCACACTTTGAGATAATAAATATGTTTTAAGCCTCTATGTTTGTAGTAATTTGTCAAACAACAACAGAAGGCTAATACAAGTGCAAAGCTTCAATTAAGTAGGTAATGCCTCTTAAGAACCGCAAAGAGGTAGGTGTTAAGAGGTCACCCAGATTTTTTTTAATCTTCTTTTAAAACAACCATTTCATTTAAAGTAAGTAAAGTGAGAGAGAGAGAGCAGAAAGTTCTGACACTGAAGAATAGCATTCTTTATTTCAAAAAGGTATCAAATTTTTATTTTATTGCCCATAGTTCTGTAAGGAAATGGATATAAAGCACCAATAATTTTGTGATCTGAAGGATAGTATAGTTGTTAAGTATTATTTACTGTGCTTAGATTGTATACATCCATAAATATTTATACTTTATGATTAGTCACACAAACTGTGTCCAAGTTTGATATTCAGTTCAAACTGGGATTTTTAATACTGTTTGTATCATGCAACTAAGATATAAAAGAATTGAAAAGTAGAAAGTAATAAATAAAATTTCATTTCAAAAAATATGGTTCCAACCTGTTTGACATGGTGGTGTTCCTTTTAGTCACATGACAGAGTAATTCCCAACAGGCTTGATTCAAATTTGGCTTATCAATCAATGCCATACTAGAAAAATACATTTTCATAACAAATTATCAATTAATAAGTTCACCAACATTACATATTTGACAACTTTGGGGTTAAAAAAAACTCTTCATTTTTCTTTTCCCAGTAAATTACAGCAAAGTGAGTCCTGTGGTCATTGTGCACCAGAAAATTAGAGAAATGAAATCTTCTAAAGCCCCACTGAGGTCAGATTCAGTCTGAAAAGCTGTGCTATGAGAAATTTACCCACATTTCCACTAAACAAGAGTTTTCATACAACACACAAAACATGACATACCCTTACTTCCTGTACTTTGGTTAAAAAGTGCTTAACTTTTTTTCCTGAACATACCTAATTCTTGACTCTAATTCTGCTCATCACAGACTAGAACAAAACATGCCATGTGCTTCTTCCCTGTTCCATTTTGGGTTTGATGTTTACTGTAAGAAAGTATTAAACTATATTTAACACTTAAAACCACAGAAAAGCAAATGACATATTGTCTGCTTTTCCAGATGAACTGTGGTAGTTCTTGAAACATTGTCCACATTGTAGAAGACTTTAAAGTCATCTTTCCTCAAATAAATGTGATATTTCTTTCCCCTTGACTTGGCGAAATAGGACTAACAGATAATGCTGCATTCATGTAAACAGATCTTTAACATGATAATTCTAGCCTACGATGAGAAATAAGCAGTATCAATCAAATCACAATTGATTTGCAAGCCCTTGTTGAAAATAAATGTATTGCTAACCATGCAGTTATTAATGTGCTTATATCTGAAAACTTGCTTGTGGAAGCAAGAAGGAAGAGTCACCCTAAATATATGTTTGTTTTCCTATTTACCAAATAGGAATGTTTTTTTCCTATTTACAATATCCTTATTCATGCAATATCTACAATTGCGCATTTTAAATTTTCCTGGGATTGGGGCAGGAGGTAGTCCTGTGGTGATAACTACACAGACCCAGCAAAAGGGTAAGCAATATCTAGAGAGACTAAGCGGGTAGGCTAGAGCTGGGAAGAACTGGCTTCCAATATCAGCACTGCCACTGACCAAGGGAACTTCTCCCAATACCTGCTTCCTTATCTGTATGCCTAACATCTCCCTACAGGGTTATTTCGAGGATGACATGGAAAGCATCTACAACCTATTATGCATTCAGTAAATGACAGACAAGATTGCCATTGTTCCTGTGAAAGCTCTGCTTTTCACATGAACGATTCTCAAGCAGAGCCCACTGGATACTTCTGAATTCAGAGACTTAATAGGAAGCAGATCTCAATTAGAAATCTTTTTCTATTTTATTATTTATTTCTTACCCTACAAGCTTCCTTACCTTCACCTTTTTTTTTTTCTCAAAACGACTCACTCTTTACTCAGTTTATTTAAGTGTTTAAGTGTATCAGTTGTGCTCAAAGTCAACACACACACATACACACACACACACACACACACACACACACACACAGAGAGTTTAAAATCAGTAAGGACTATTTATTGCATTGTCCAGATTATCTACCCTAGAATATAGGTAATGAGCAGCTTTATCACCAGAACAGAGAAATCATGGACTTTAATGGGTATTGAATAAAAATATGATTGAAAGGCTAGATGTGATACTAACATAACTAATACACAAAAGAGTGCTGAGGCAATAACTATTTGGAATATATAATATAAAGTGAGGAGTAATGTGGAAAAAAATCTACAGGAGGAAAATACTTTTCCTGATTAATTTTTCAAATTTTAGACATTTGCTCAAAAAAATCACAAGGCTGTAGGATCTTGAGAGAGCTAGACTTGTCATCAATGTTTAGGCAGAACAAAAGTTGAATTAGGTAAGAATGACATCCTCATCCATTTTGTTTAGGCTACCAATAAAAAAGGACTTACTATAGTCTTCCTTAGCACCCATCTTAGATAACATCTTTCCATGGATCTCATAAAGTTTAAACCCCCATATTAAATCTTATACTTCCTGATTTATTGTCATTGTGGATGTAAAAAAGGGCTGATGATCATCTTTGTTTATAATCTTTCATAGATTTGAACAGAAACATTCATAATTGCCTATTAATAATAAGCCTCCCCAAAGGCTAATGAGCTTAAGCAAATAAAAAGTTTTGTAACCTACCAATTAACCTATAGAAGGTATTCCAAATAATTATATTCTGTCACTTTCTTATTCACACTTGACTCCAAAAAGTTCTCAACGTTTTACATGAATAATCTAGAAAATAAATTTTACTCTTGCCTTCACAGGCAGCATTAAAATGAGCAGGCACTTGTGTTAATTTGTTATATTTTCTTATTTATTACTTAATTTTCCTACTGCCTGCTTGGAACTTGAGTTGTTCTGGTTAAAAAAATGATTGAAGGAGCAAACATAATGATACAAAAATTTAAATAAAGTTCACTCTTGCCATGAAATGGGATGTCAGTTTTGCAATCCATCTGCACTTTCCCACTAAGCTGGGTGGAGTTGGTCTAAATGAATCTGAAGATATTTATGAAATAAGCTAATACGAAAGGGCACTACAACCCATTAAAAGCGACTCTCTTCCTCTTCCACAGCGCGATGAAGGCCAGGGATGAATTTTAAGAGCTGTTTCCGGACACTTCCCCTTCTGCTTTTCCTGGGCAGAGTCCCAAACATGCTTGAGAAGTTGCCTTCCCACAAGGGAGACATGGACCCACTACTAGCAGAACTAATGCTCTGGTTCCTCCTTGAAGAACACCTCTTCAGAAAATCATCCCCATCCTTGAGGACAAAACACTCATCATCTGTGCTTGTCTGCCGGCTGAAGGCTTCCCTGCTCGAGTCTTCAGACACACATGTCTGGTACCCATCCTCACTGTCTATCGTCATGGAGCTCAGGCAGCTCTTACAGCTGCTCTCACTGGATAAGCGACTCCGGTCCAGGAGAGCTGAACCCGGCAGGGGTCCAAACAAAGCTGATTCATCTATGTCCATATTTTCCAAACTTGGGCAGTTAGATGCATCACCTAGAAAGCAGAAAACAAAGCCTACTGGGAAATGGATCTGAGCATCGCTCCTTACAAGTAAATACACCAAATTTCTCTTTGAAGGGCACAAGAAAAACTAAGGGTAAATAATACTTTTCACTAAATTTTCACTTGCATGAATAAGTAACTGTTCATGAGACCATTCGATAAACCTTATAGTATGATTTTTCAAACTATTTGTTCATGAACTAGTTTCCAGGTAAAAGGGTTCTATGGTGACAAAAATGGTAATGCTAGATTAAATAAATTGAAACAAGAGTCTTCATATGAGAACAGTTCAACTCATCTAACAGTATGCCAGTGTGACTTATGAATTTCCAAAAGAATCATTTCTTATACTGTAGTGACCATGCCACCTTTTATTAAAATTATCATAGAAATGGGCTCCAAAGAATATACTTGGGGAAATGCCTCTTATGGATTTTCTCTATTTTAGTTCCTCTGAATTTTAGTTACTATTTTTTTTTAATAATTGTAAAATTGTTATAACATCACTTGAAGTGTATGGGAAACACAGTTATAAAGCCTGCCCCTGTAGGCTGATTATTAGAGAATTCAAAGATGTTTAAAACAGAAAGGATATCTTCCAGCCTCGATATGCCCAGTTGATTCTTAGAACACTTTAATACTTAAATGCTTTGAAATGGTAGTGTACCCAGAAAATATCCCTGTCCTAAAATAAGTAATAATTCATTTGAAGAAATTGAATGTTATCTGCTTAGCTGAATTTCTTCATCAACCTTTTATAACCTACATCTGGGCTCTCCAAACTCAAATTTTAATCTCATACCAACAGCCTGTTCATATCCCACTTGTTTCTGTACTATTTGAGTTGGTTAGTATGCTGCTAAAAGAAAGGAGATTATTTGTAATACTAGCATGAGAAAAACATCATTAGAAGATGACTTTGCTTCAGGACAAGTAATAGAACCTTACACACTCAGAAATTGTTCTATTTTGTGCTGATAACCTCTAATTCTGCTCTCCTTTGTCCTTGGTTGACACTATAAAAAGAGACTGCTTATTTTTCCATTTGATCTGCAAGGTTAGGTAGGGCCAGCCCTGTGGTGACTAGCTATAATGCTTTCCTTTTTGTTAACAAAACCAATTTTATTTCATCTCCCAACAAGCTGATGAATTTCTTTTGATTGGCGAGCAGTTGGCTTGTAGGAACTCATGCCCTGGATATTTACTGTAGGTCTAGAAAAAGTAAGCTAAAGAACTCATTCAATCTCTCAAAAAATATGTACAACAATGACCTATGAAAAGTCAAACTCCTTGATTCTGAACTAAGGATCGTGTCTATACAAGGCCACTTCCATAAAGCCATAGAACTGCCTACACTTACCAGATCAAACCCCATCTCCACTCCAGGATGCTCCGGAAGTAGAGGCAAAGATATCCCAAACACCCTCAAGTCTACAGAAATCCAGGAAGCGGCCAGAAATGTGTGCCTCTGTCTGGTTAGCAAACTTCAGATCCCCCCCCCCCAACAAAGCCTGCTATAGGTTTTTGAGAATATTAATTTAGAAACACAGAGAAGAGAAGTAACTCATACATGTTTCATTTTTTGAAAAAAACAGAACTTTGACACAAGCCCCTAAGCCATAAATTAGTGCCTAATTAAGAATTAAATGTATCCTTCTTCTGTAAACAGATTATCACTTTTAACAAACAGATATTCTAAGGTTATAGAGATGCTATAGCTCTGTGTTATCTGAAGAAGATACAACCTATATTTCACACCCACACAGTTAGTGGTTTCAGTGAATTATTTGTATCTACAAGTTCATTCCTCAGGTTATACCAGTCACATGGCAAATGCCATGTCAACAAATTTTAAACTCAACCCTTCTTTTCAGAATGTACACAACAGCAAGAGCCATGCATTTACTGTTATAACGATCCCTCATATTTCTGTTTTGGATTTGAGGGCCATGAGGAAGGATTTCTCTGCCTTACTGTAACTTACACAATTTGAGCAAATAATAGGAGCTCCACCCAAGAAGCATGTTACCATTCCCAGCTTCAAGAGTTTCTGAGAACTACCCAGCCCCTGAACCGCAGATGTTCTCAGGAATTTAATTCATCTGCTGAAGTAGTGGGAAAATCAGGCAATCATTCATATTTACTCTTCTAAAATCCCCAGGTGCCTCTTGAGAGCGAGTGCACACATGCCCCTGTGTCCATGTTTTCATGTGCATGTGTTCTGTGTATGGAGGAGGGGGTGTGATGATGACTTACCCCTCCTCCATATACAGTGGTCACTCCAAAAGCCATGCCAAAGAAACACAGGCTACTATTCTCAATCCATGCTAGGCAATTTTTTTCTTGTAATGATGATAATCTTAAAACAATGTAGAGGCAGAAGTACTGAAAGAATGAAATGTTAAGTGTGGTTTCTGAACAGGAAATCACATTTACCATGAAGCAGGCGCTGTTCCTGTAATTGCAGAGATCTGAACTCCACCCATTTTCTCTTCAAGGTTTGCTGAGAAAGAAGAAAAGTGCTAATTATTTGGAAACCCCAGTGAAGATAGCAATTTACTTCCAGGTGTTGAGATTTGTCATTAATTTTTTTTCATTTCTTTCTATCACTAACAATCCCTCCCACTCATTTGAAAGATTCTTTTTCTGTATAAAAGCAGAATATTGGGAACACTAATTTCTCAAGAAATAATCTAGTATCACCAACAAGTTGAAACAATGATGTCATTTCAATAGAAAAAACAGATAATAGGAACAATGATATTTAGATACTTTTCATTTAAAAATATTAGAGAAACAGATTGCTTAGGTTTGTGTCCATTTACTAGCTGTTTCGGCAAGGCTTTACACTCTAGGCTTCTTCCATCAGCAATATGAGAACAACAACAGAACCTAAACCTGGGAATTGTCATGAGGATTAAATGCATTAGTAAATGTAAAATGGTTGGAACAGTGGGTACAGCTTAGTAAATGTTCAAAAAATACCATGATCATTTTGAATGGATACAGAAGATGTGGTATACGTATACAACAAAATATTACTCAGCCATAAAAAAAGAATGAAATAATGTCATTTGCGGCAACACGGATGGACCTAGAGATTATCATACTAAGTGAAGTACGTCAGACAGGAAAGATAAATACCATATGATGTCACTTATATGTGGAATCTGAAATATGATACAAATAAACTTATTTACAAAACAGAAACAGACTCACAGACATAGAAAACAAACTTATGGTTATCAAAGTGGGAACGGGAGGAGGGATAAATTATGAGTATGGGATCAAGAGATACACACCACTATACGTAAGATAGTAAACAACAAGGATTTAGTGTACAGCATAGGGAACTACATTCAGTGTCTTGTAATAACAAGTAATGGAGAAAAATCTGAAAAAAAAAAATAGATGTATAACTGAATGACTTTGCTGTACACCTGAAACTAATACAATATTATAAATCAACTATACTTCAATTAAAAAAAAAAAAAACACCATCATTCTATAAGCCTGGGGCACTAAAATAGTCTTTTCTGCTGGATATCTACTTATTTTCTATACCCAAAAGGGGAAGCTGACCAGTTCTAAAAGGCTTCCTTGGAGGGCTAAACTTAGAACACTGTAAGCACCCTGACTTCTTAACTGGTTCCTTCCTTGGCTGCCCCGCACATGAGAGCAGTGGCCCAGGGAAGGATGAAACGGCTGCTGTAATGGTCACGACTGCACGTGAGGCCTGGCCTAGCCCACAGGCTGGAATCAAAAGTCAACCAAGCAGAAGGCATCTGACAAAGGCAAAAAGGCTCCTTCTCCCTCTCCTTCTTTGTTCTTTACTCCACCCCTTCCTTTGCCATTTCAGGTCCCCACAGCAAATCCAGCAGGTAAGCACAGCTCAGATTTGCCTGGGGACACTTATCCTGAAGGACAGCCAGCCTAGTTGGAAACAAGTGGTCCTTTGTACAAATCAATCTGGAAGGGGCAGATGAAGGCTAAAAAGAAAGAGGGGGGGGGGGAAGCACAATTGGAAGGGGAAGACTGAAGGAAAAGAAAATATTACAAGAATGTCATTAAGTGTTTAAGGGGGAAAGTGGCTGGTTCCTCAGTTCAGGGATTGAACAATCACTGGGCAGGATTTTCCAAGCCTTGATAAGAGTAACATTTAGCAGCAATCACTATGATTGTCAATATAATATGCAATCAATGAGTCAAAGCCACCTGGCATTACCTGGCTCAGTTAATTTCTTGTTCTTTCTGTACTATAATATAGTCTACCTGGCTATGAGACTGCTGGGCTACCTGAATTACAGCTCTTGTAAACCTGTGGTCATGTGAAGGTCAGAGTTAGGAAACCAGGAAGTACAGAACTAGCAAGGATCTGGCATATATACCAAGCCCTTTTTTCTTTCTTAAAGAGGTTTATCTCTTGCAAGAGAATAGAGTCTAGTTGGGGAGCATAAGGATAGACTGATGCTCAAAACTAATTATAGGGAGAAGAGGAAGTTGTATTTCTGCACTTACTATGCAGAAATACAAAGTTAGAGCTTGCCAAACAGTTTCTGTGAAAGTCAAGGTTTTTAAATGTCAAATCTGTTGATTTGTCCCAGTCATCTAAGTATGCCGTCACTTAAACCAAGAAAATACCAATGCAAAGAGCAGATGTGTCAAAGTGACTAAGAGTTTTTAGTCTATATTGAAGCTTCCTTATTTTCCTCAGAGTCAGCCTATTATTAATATCACAGTAGTGTATTTGGACAAATCTAACCTCTCACTGTTAGAAGAAAATTAAAGTACATGTGAGATTTAACCCTACTGGATCACGTCACCTCGCTGTGCCTAGCTCAGCGCCTGGTACATAGCAGATGCTCAGTAAATATTGGCTAAATGAATAAATGAAAGGATGGCTTCCTGGAACAACACTCAGCTATCACAGACTGGATATTTTGGTTGAACATATCTCCAACGTTTTCATTCTACATGAGACATATAGCTAAACATTTTCATGGCACTTTACTACTTTTATAGTGCTTTCATGGATAATATGCTGTTTAATTTTTCTAACTGTCCTAAAAAGTTCCAGATTAGAAAATAAAGGTTTAATGTAGCAAAATATTTCCCAAGGGCTACAAACCCAGTAAATATCAGAGCTGGATTAAAAAGTAGGTCCCTCAGACCACTAGATGTGCTGTTTTCATGTTAAACATTTGAATCACAGGCCATGAGAAAGGGAATCCCTGAAAACACAGCTCAGAAGGCACCATTGTTTCTAAAGAAGAGGTTATGGCCCCACAAAGAGTCTTTGAGGGACACAATGCACATGTAGGATGCACAAACTAAATGTCATTGTGTGAAGGGGAAGCCAACCTGACTCTGGTAAATAGGTCAGACCCAGACATTTCTGGCTCAAGAGATGAGCTGGAAATCTCATAATTTCAAGATTAGAAAAGGAACAGAAATGAAAGAAAGTGAGCAGAAATGAACCCAAAAGTCTTCTGGACCTGGAGAAAAAGAAAGAGGTCACAAGGAAATTGGACCCTATGGCGATAGTTTAAATGCAATTATGTGAGGCAGAGACAAAGACAAGTTTCCTGCTTGAGAGAAGAACCTTGGCTGAAGCTCCACCATTGTGAAAAGGAGCTGAGCAAAGCTGTTGAGGGCGACTAAAGCTCATGGAGAATATGTACCCAGAGAAGCAGGAGCACATAAACGTAGCCTCATGACCTGAACTGAGCAGCACACTGGCCCTCCAGGGAAGGCATCCAAGCTGCCAGACCTGGCTTTAGACCGGAAGCCTTGAAGTGCAGAGCAGAGGCCACTGCCCAACTCTCACACTGAGTGGAAGGGAGAGGCCCAGGGAAATGGGCAATCCAGACTCCAGAGCTCCACAGAAGTTTAATGATAAGAAAGATAACAAAACTGATAATCAGTACATGGACTCTCTACAACAAAATCAAAATAGAAAAGTGTTCAAAGACTTTAAAATAAGAATATTTACAATCCTCTGAGAGAGAAATGTGATGTTCCTAAGAATAAGAAATTTGAAACAAAGGAAGAACAGATAGACATGAAAAAGAACTATTTGAAAATAAAAAATTAACTTTTAAAACTCAAGAGAAAAAACATTCTATACAGAACACAGACAACATTACTGAAGATATTACTAAGGAATTCAAAAATAACATAACAGTGAAAAAAACTGAAAAAAAGAATATAGATATAGTAGATGTATACACACATATATGTATAACTCAGTCACTTTGCTGTACACCTGAAATGAACACAATATTGTAAATCGACTATACTTCAATAAAAAATAACATAACAAAAAAGATAAAGTGATACAAAATCTGAAGTGGTTAGGAAGCATGGAAAGTAAATCAAAAGACTCTGAAATATGTCTAACAGAAATTTCAGAAGATAATCCAGGGAATGATGAGGAAGGTGTATTCAAAAAGGTCAAGCTGATAATTATCCAAAACTGAAGAAAGTCAGAAGTCTTTAGACTGGAAGGACACTGCAAGTTCCAAGCAGTATAAATTTAGAAATGAATCCAGACCTAATCACATTGTGGTGAAACTGTAAATCAGGAAAGACAAAAGAACACCTTAAAAGCAACCAGCAAAAGATGAAAAATTGCCCCAAATTGAAATACTGGGTTTTGAAAAGAGCTTAAAAATGGGAAATCCTCTAGAGATAATTACCAAGAAGAAAAAAATAGAAAGAAGGCATAAAAAGTAGTACAAATGAAAATGGGGACACAAGCACAGCTGCGATAGAAAAGAAAAAGATGAGAACAGAATGTTTATTATCAACTTCATGCAATAAATATGAAAATTTTAAAACTTTATTAACAAAAACATCATGCAATAAACCTGGCTCAAACAAACAAAAATAGAAAGCCTGAGCAGTCTTATAACTAATAAAGAAACTGAAACTGAGTTTAGAAGTATTCACATCAAAAAGAAACACAAGCCCAGATGATTCAGATAGCGTTACAAGAATTCTACCACAGAACGAAAAGGGGAAGAGACTCCTCACCTCATGCTAAGAGTCCAGTAAATTTGATACCAAAAGTAAAAAAGATAGTCTGAGAAAAGAAAATTACAAGCCATTCTACCTGTAAGATGAAGTTACCCTCAACAATGCTAAAGAAAATGTAATCAAATCAAATCTACAAGTATATTAAAAAGATGATAAATTATGACCTGGTTGGATTTATTATAGAAATGCAAGGGTGGTTTTACATTAGAAAATCTTTAAATGTTATTCACCAAATTGACAGATTTTTAAAAATAAATATATGAGAAGACCACCTCAACACTTATAGAAAAAAAGTATTTGATACAATTTAATACACGAGCACTGTAAAAACTACCAGAAAACTTGGTGTAGAAGGGAACCTCCTTAACCTGAAAAGTATAACCCTAGAGACAGGAAAGAATCAAAAGAATCCCCTTTAAGGTCAAAAGCAAAGCACGGATGCCTACTATTTTAGCTTCTATCCATCATTGTATTATAGGCCTTAACCAGTGTAGCAAAATAAGAAAAAGAGCTAAATATCATTCTCAGCAGATAGCTATTATCTTCATGAGAAACTCAAAATAATCTGTAATTTATTAGAAATTATATAGTTTAGCAGGGTGTTAACAGCACAGAAAAATTGATTTCACACATCTACACATTAATCTCAATCAAAACATTATTTTTAATAAAGAAGCTATAATAAGAACAAAAATCATTTTACAAAGGTATAAATCTAATAAAAGCTGCATAGGATCTATCTACATAAAATTATAGGAATTTATGGAAAGACAAAGAAAATAATTAAAAATTATTTACTGAGATAGTCTGTCAGTAAGAAAACTCAATACCATATGGATGTCAAGTCTCCTCAAATTGATCTTTCTATATAAAGCCGTATTATCTATCAAAGCTCCAACATACATTCATAGAACTTAACAATCTGATTCTAAAATGTATACAGACAACCAAAGGGCCAAGAATAACCTGGAAAGCTTGCCCAATCAGACATCAATATTTATTACAAAGGTACAATAGCTGAGTTTGAAATAAACAAATTGATCAATGGACCAGAATTGGAAGCCTGTAAGATCCATTCATATCTGGAACTAGCTTAAAAATAGAGGTTTTACTGCAGGTCCGTTGGGGAAAAAGAAGGACTGTATAAGATAAATGGTACTGGGAGAACTGAGTACTCAAATAGAAAAAAATAAAACAAAATTGGAATCCTATCTCATACTACATACAAAAATTAATACTGAATGAATAAAGACTTGGATATTAAAAAGCTTTAAAACTTTTAGAAGAAAATATAGAAAATGCAGAGTACCTTACAAAGGATAAACAATTAGGAGCTCCCTCATAAACAAAATATCAAAGGAACAAAGCGTTCAAAGTGCTAAGGAGACAAAACACCAACTTAGAATAATTCAATTACCTATAAAACTCTCTATAGTAGCAGTGAAATAGATATTTTTCAATAAAGACCCACCTACCCTCACTAAAGGAGTATAATATTACAGCAAGAAGGAAAGTAAACCCAGAGGTAAAGAGCAGAATACAAGAAACAAGGGCAAGGCTGACAGTTCACAGGTTGGTATACTTGTTTACCAGCTGTTAAGAAAAAAAGCCTGTCTTTTTCATTTTAAAAATGGATAGAATTTTCTCAAGTAAGCAATAATAAGGAAGATGGAGCCTTAAATGGACATTTAAACATGTTAAGGTCCTCATGATATTCTGGGAGAGGATGGAGATGTTGAAATTTTTCTAGATTAGAAAAAATAATAAAGTATGTATATTAAAAGTTCAAGAGAAAATGTTCAAAGAACAGAAAATGCTTAGAAGCATATGCAAATATGTGTTGTGCAAGAGAGTTCTTTATTCCATGAAACATAAACCTATTTTTCACTTATGTTTTAAATAACATCACTAGTTTACACTCTACATTTTCCTTTTTTTTTTTTTTTTACAAAAGCCTGAAAAAGCCAGTTTTACTTTTTTGAAAATGATGTTCACTAAGACTCTCTCTCTTTTCCAGAAACAAATTAACCTTCGACAATTTAAAAAACCTAAATATAATATGAAGAACTATTTACTCCTTACAAAAATTTAATGGTAAAATGTTAGAGGCACCCCTTTTAACATGAAGAATAAGACTCACTACTTACAACATCCTGAGGGTCCTAGCTAATATTGTAAGAGAAGAAAAAATAAACTAGTTGAATAATTGGGAGTAAAGGGGCAAAACTTTCATTATTTGCAGATGATACTATGTTTATATAAAAAAATTCAAGGGAATCTACAAACATATTACTAAAATAAAGGGAGTTCAGCAAGACTCCTGGATTTAAAACTTTATACAAAAATCAATAGCAATAAGCAGTTGAAAATATAAAAGACCACATTTATTATAGCAAAAAAATTAGAAGGTATATAGGAATAAATATAATGAAAGATATATAAAAATGTATGAAGAAATTACAAAATGTTTTTGAAGTACATAAAAGACCTGAATGGAAAGAGAGATCCTGTGTTTGAAGTAAGGAAAGCAAAAACCATAATAACGTCGATTGATATCACTTATTCTATAAATACGATTCAATTACTATCACAGTCTAAAGAGGACTTTTTTCCAATGAATTTTATAAATTGATTCAAAAGATCACAGGGGTAAGCAAAATGACAAGAATATAAAACCAATGTTGACAAAGAAGAAAACAGGTCTTGTTGATGAATTAAATGTGGTAGAGGGAGGAATAAAAGATAAGGTAGGAATATACTAACTCTACCCTCTTGAGCTCAATAACTGAGCACATCCTGAGATGCACATGAGCGAGGGCCTAGACTTCATGGTCTTCCAGAACCTCACCAGTCTAGCAAACTGAGATTTTTAAGACCCTCAAATAGCCTAGAGAATTTTCACTGAACATCCTGCATTGTACACTATCTCCTGTAAACTTTAATTTCCTCTTCAAAGCTGACATTGTATTTGCCAGTGAAAGTAGATTCAAGGACAGCCACAGGAGTAGAGGAAGATGATTTCTGTAGTAAGAATGAGGCAAAACGAAAGGACGCAGAGGAGGACAACAGAAAAACAAAAATCCCAGGCCCTCCTGCACACATATATAGCACTTGGGAAAATGACAAAAAGACAGCTTCTACTTCTTTGGTTTTTTCCAAACAAAATGTAAATTGAAAGAGATCACAGGTGCATTAATGAAAAGTTCTTCAGGTGATGTGCCTTCCTGTTGCCTTTCTGAGCCTCATAGACATGCAGAAGGAGGAAGGAAGAAAGTGATTTGCCCTGGTTTGTGGAATTTAATATTCCTGCAAAGGTAATTGTATGGCTCTTGATAATTCAGCAGTTTAGTCTCATCACGACATTTCATCTTCAAGGGCTATCTCAATTCTTCAAACAGATCTTTATTCTACCACTCACATTCAAGGATGAAAAATGTGTCTCACTGTATTAAATTAAATTACCTTTAAAACTTGCAGCTTTGCCTCAAGCTCTGTTCTTTTGAGAATCATTGTTCCATTAAGAGTCTCTATCCTGTTTTAAGAAAAAAAGGAGGGGGAGGGGAATAGCATGAGTGATTCTTTCAAACAAGTACCATCCTTATGGAGTACTACACTTTGAGCACAGGCTACCCTTAAAAAGCAACGTAAATGTTACCATTCTCATGGCACTTCAAGGATTTGGATGTAAGCCAAACCTTCTGACAACATTCTAAGAAAGAATATGGAAAATAAATACTCTCTTTGAGAGGGTGACTGAAAGAAAAGACTCTGGTTTATTTGTAAACTGTAGCTCACTTTATAGAAGCCCCTATATGGCAATGACGGTTGTTCTCTGCTAGAACCTATTCCTGTGTGGTCTGGGTGAATCACCTCCTTCATTTGGTGACTATTTATTGGGCATCTACTATGTGCCAGACTCTAGACATCGTGCTAAAAGTGAGGGATACAGCAATGAAACTAGGGACTTTCAAACAATGGAGTCAAGTAGCTATTTCTTGAAACAAGGGAAAATCCTTTCTTCCCTAAGATTCTAGGAAATTTTACCTCTGTAAATTGCCTTAATTTTGGAACTAGAACAAATAGAACCACAACCACTATGAGATAATAACTTCCATATGACTCTCTCATCTCAAAACCTTTTAAGTGTACAAACTTTAATCTTAAAATTACCCATCTAATGGTATTCTTTCTCCCTATACCAAATGCCCTTCTAAAAATAAAAAGACTTGCTCTATCCTGAGTGATTTGATTTGTTTTGTGGGCTCAAGTTAGATGCCATCAATCTGCATAAGATAAATATGATATGTGAGTTATACAACTAAGCATTTTTAAACTATTGGTTCAAATTCATTTTGATAAATAAGCTGTAACTCTATAAAGATGCAAGAAAATTTTCAAGACATGGTAAAATAATAGTATTAAATGCAGAGACCAGTTTCCCTCTATTTCCAACAGCATTATACCCAAGATAATGAGATGATAGCAAGAGAACACGTTGTCTGCTTTCTCATTAGCGGGTCTTGACTCTGGGCGATAGTGACAATCCCTATGAATCTATTTGGCACTTTAATGTTGACCTGACCTGCCCAAGCAATAGATGTCTGTGGGCAGAACTGCAGCCATAGATTGGCCGCTCTCTTCAGTATTTGTACGAACGGTCTCTCATCTTCCTTATCTCTGGATTTCCAATTGTCTCCACCCAATACTCTTTAATTATCCACCTGAGGTCTGCTCACTTTACCCATCTGGAATATAGGTTTCTGTTTCTAATCACCAGCATGTTCTCCTGGACTCTATATGATTCCTACCTTATAGACTCAAGTTTCTCTGGAGATCAAGTGGCCCCAACTTTTACCCTGAACTCATAGGATTCATAGAGTTGGACTCAGTCCTCTACCACCACCAGTCATCTTTCAAAACTACTCTCACACAAACCCCAAAGAAATATCCTTTGAAGTTTTAGACTAGAATCACTAAAAAGTGTCCAGCAGATTTTTTATTGGCAGCTTACAAGGAGCAGCTGTGGTGTAGCTGGAGAATAGAGCCTGGCATCCAGAGCAGATGGTCAAATCCCAGCCCTGGCATTTACTAGATGGTTGGTCTTAACTAAACCTCATTTCAGCCTGAGTCACTTCGTTTATAAATAGGAATATAACTAACTTCTGTGAAGAATAAATGAGATGATCAGAATAAATTCTAAAACTATTAAGCCTGGCTGGTGAGGCCCATACTCTGCTCCCTGGAGAACTCTCTGTCTTCATTTCTTACTATACTCTTCCTAATTCACCAACTACCAATTACACTGGCTTCCTCTCTATCCCTTGAATAAGCCAAGCCCACTTTGAGAACTCAGAGACCTCTCCCTTTACCTGAAATGTTCTCACCAGGAGTTCATCTAACCATCCCTTCTCTTCATTTCGCTTTCAGCTCAAAGCTCACCTTCTGAGAAAGGACCACTTTAAACACTTAAGCTAAAATAGCAGCCCTCTCACTCAATGTTCTATCCCATTTCTTGTTTTACTTTCTTTATAGCACTTATCAATAACTGAAATATCAAAATTACTTATTTTTGCAGCCTCTTCTTACCTATCTCCTTCCACAATAAAGCAACAGAAGAGTCTTTATCTCTCCTGAGCCTATCACAGAGCTGGAAACATAGTATTTGCTCAATAAATATCATTTTAGTGAATGGGTGAATTCCATCTTTTAACTAATTACTAAGGTCTTATTAGTTACTAAGGGTGGAAATGTCAGTTGAATCTCTAACTGGGGAAACAAATGTCCCATTAGTAAGTTGGGAATAGTAGCAGATGTGAGTGTGTGTGTTGCACGGCATGAGGGCCGAGCAGACTGTTCTTTCAAACAGAACACTAGGAGAGAAAAACAATTGGCTGGTGGTAGAAGAGGAAAAAACTCAGCCCTTCTGACCTTTCATTTGTTCTAACCACAGGATTATATCAGCCATGGAAATTGGACCCATTCCTCTCCGTCCAAAGAGAATGTGTGCCAGTTTAATTGAATTTGAATTAAAAATAAAATTTAAAAAATGCTATCCCGCCCACTCAGATGTTTGGGCTATTGATGTCCTCTGACTTCAGATGTTGACAACATGTTCAAGTTTGAGGAAACCTTGAGAAACAAAAGGAACTGATAAAAACATCTGTACCCAATCCCCAAGCTATGATGCACTGCCTCCCTTCTTGTGATCCTGAACAAAAAGCCTATTCATTCACTCAACAGGCATTATGAGAGACTGTAACATTTTTGAAGCCCCACGGGAAGCAGCCAGATAGTTACATTAGCAGGTTTCCTGATGATCTGATCAGGTCAACAACTTGTTTGTGGGTAAAACCTTCTGTGCTCACACCATTGATATTTGCAAGGACATCACCTGGGAGATGCCAAGAAAAATGAGTGTTAAAACGGTTGGTTAAATAATCTTTCCTGACCCACGAATGAAATAAAACAAGCAAGACCCAAACCTTGGCAACATAAAGGAGTTAAGGAAATTCAAAGCAACAATCATGTCCTGACCTTCACTATCAAAAAAGTTATTTTTCTTGCTATTTAAATAATTCCTAACATGAGCATAGTTCTAACTTACCGGCTTGCAGGCCAGCGCAGTGTGCTGGGCTATCCTCCTGGATTTTGCAGATCAGGGTGCACATCTCTGAGGAGCAGGTGTTCTGGTTTTGGAGCCTGTAAGTCTGTAAAATTAAAGGGATACATAACTACCATTACCAAATATAAAATAGATTACCATTACCAAAAAACTCAAAATCTATTTGTTAAAAAAATATTAAGTGGCATCAGTTACCTTAAGCAGCATAATAGATAAGTGCAAAGAACAATTTGGGAAGCTTTTCTGAATATAAACTAAATCTAAGTACCAATCTTACACTTCTCCCACACAATCTGTAGCTGACTCCATTCATAAAAAATACATCTGGCTTAAGAAAGAAAGTAGGATAAGACTGGCTTAAGACTTTCAAGCCTAAGAGACCACCTGATGCTATCATTATTGCATATTTAACAAGAAAAATTTGGTTTCTCTTTTCCCAATGGGCTAAAACAATATGGCCAAGAGCAGAGAGAAAAATCTCTATGTGGTTCTCCTGAGCTAAAGTACTTATTACAGGAGCGTAAGAAACAGTACATATCCAGCAAGGGAGATATGCCAACAATAATTATTTTAAATCAGAGTTCTGCAAATAATGACAATCTGCCCTGCATTCATTCAAAAGCACTATGATTGACTCAATTACCTTCATTCCTGAGCACTCGGTGGTACATCTGCCCTAAATACTCATTCATTAGCCACTCGACTAAATTAGAAAAAGTTACGCTTGGGCTCTGGCCTCAATTTGGCAAAAGCAGCTTGGTTTTGTTTTTGTTTTTGTTTTCGATTTGTACCAAGAACACAGCACAAGTGTTTGGTGAATAGAGTGGCCCAAGGACCTATATTTTTCTTTTTCATATATTTAAGTTATGAGGTCTCGCTGCATTTAGAATCAAAATCAGCATTCTGAGTTGAGTAAGTCTTCTAAACATCTGTTTCCTAAAATTAAACCACATTCCAGCACTGCTTTCCTGTGGAAAAATGAATGTCTGATGTTCATTCCTTTTGATTTTACAGACCTACAGGCTCCAGAACCAGCAGAACCAGAAGTCAGTCAAACTTCTAGAAACTTGACTTTGTTAACCTAAGAGATTTCTATGTACTCTGCAAGGCATTTAGAATCCCTGTATCTTAAAGATAGAGGGGACTTTCAGAGATCGTGTAATCTACTTTCCATCTATGCCAGAGATCCCTTTAACAGCTTTTCTGCCAGGGAGTCTTCTTGCCACAGCCCGGGCCCTTCCAGAGATGGAAGGGTGGTCTGGTTCATGGAGGACATGAACCAAAGCTATAACAGACGCTCCTTTGGGAAACCACTGTTGTAATGATTCTCATTAGCAGTGAGAACCTACCCTCCATGTCCAGGGAGCAAGGTGAGTACAGTGAAGGGGGAACATGTTAATTGATGTAGCCTGCACCTGTGTATATGTTTGCAACAGGTGTAAAATTTGTGGCTTAGAGAAGGAAAGGCAGAGGTCCCCAAGTTTTGGTAAGAAATTATTAGTTGGATATTTCTCTCTTTTATCCAGTCTTCTAGCTCAATCATTTCCTAGAGACACAAAAGTACATTGCCTTTCTCATGCCTGATAGCCTTCATTCTAACAGTTGTCATTTGCTGATCTTCTACTGGAACCAGGCACATAACTAAGTACTTTATGTGTTAGTTCATTTGAAGTGCCTAAGAACCCACTAAGGTAGCACTGAAAGAATATGAACTCAGGTGTACATGAATCTAAGGTCTATCTTCCTGCCAAATTACTACATTACTCTCTGTAGCAGCAAAAAACTAGCACCCATGGAAACCAGAGGAGGTGGACTTGTTCTCTCCCAGCATGCCCTGCACCTGGTAGACCAGGGCCCAAATATGTGTTAATGATGGGGGCACAATAAGGGTACGTGAGGTTCTATCTGGTCTTCAAAATGTTCCCAGAGCATGTCCCCTATTTGATGACTACTACAAATGTTATGAGTACTAGAGAACAGGTTATGGCATAGAGCTGGTAATGGAAAGCATACACCATAAGGGAATTTGCAGAGGCGTGGATCCTTGCATCACTAAGATAGCACAGACATGCTGCAGTCCAGAGGTGAAGCCATTAGCTCACGTGAATCCACAAAGTTTCAAGGCACTATAGCCTGCTGTCTACTAATGATAGTTTTGATTCTTGCTTCATGTAGAGTGTTTATGGTATAAGGGAGAAACATGGGGGAAGCAGTGACATGTCTATAGAAAAATGAGAAGAGATCCTCGCTGGTAACATTAAGTAAGAGTAAGTGAGTAGACTTTGCTCCTGTTTTCAGTAGCAATCACTGCACATCCTTGGGGATAATCTCATTTGAAAAGTGGTCACAAAAAGCATAGTGTCTCTACAACAGAATAAGAAGTGTTTCATGTGAATGAGGAACAAGAGAGAGTACTATGCTTCTAAAACCTGATGGAAGAATTAGAGATTTCACCAAATTCAAAAGTAGAGGAGCTAAGAAAGGAGAAGGTCTCTTCTTTTCTCCTAGAGCCTTCTCCCTATTCATTGCAGCTAGAGTTCCATTTTGTTTCTTTATTCATAAAACACATCTTACATAGCAGCTTCCTGTTCCTAATCTAAAAACACACTGACTTTACAACTGTGGGGCTTATATTTAGTCACCAAAGTTTTCTGAAGGCAGCACCAAAGTTAAGATATAAAAACTGATGTGCAGTATAAGGATATGGTTATGCAAAATGCCTCTAAAAGAAATGCAAAAGTGTAATGGAAAAAGAACACGGTAATACTTAAACTACTTCTCTTGCACTTAATTAGACTAGACTTCATTTGACCTAACTCATCACCTTAGCAAATATGGCCATGAAAAGCAGACAGCAAATAAGAAATGAAATTCTTAGGCTACTAAATAGAAATCCATAAAGAAGTCAAAATTTTCCTAAAGCATGAGACAATACACACATAGAGCCAAATGTTCTTAAGTGTTTCAAATAATAGTTTAAAAATGTTGCCATAGCAAAAGCAATCCTGAGAAAGAAAAATGGAGCTGGAAGAATCAGGCTACCTGACTTCAGACTATACTACAAAGCTACAGTAATCAAGACAATATGGTACTGGCACAAAAACAGAAATATAGATCAATGGAACAGGATAGAAAGCCCAGAACAGGATAAACCCACACACATATGGTCACCTTATCTTTGATGAAGGAGGCAAGAATATACAATGGAGAAAAGACAGCCCCTTCAATAAGTGGTGCTAGGAAAACTGGACAGCTACATGTCAAAGAATGAAATTAGAACACTTCCTAACACCATACGCAAAAATAAACTCAAAATGGATTAAAGGCCTAAATGTAAGGCCAGACACTATAAAACTCTTAGAGGAAAACATAGGCAGAACACTCCATGACATAAATCACAGGAAGATCCTTTTTGACCCACCTCCTAGAGAAATGGAAATAAAAACAAAAATAAACAAATGGGACCTAATGAAACTTAGCTTTTACACACCAAAGGAAACCATAAACAAGATGAAAAGACAACCCTCAGAATGGGAGAAAATATTTGCAAATGAAGCAACTGACAAAGGATTAATCTCCAAAATATACAAGCAGCTCATGTAGCTCAATATCAAAAAAACAAACAGCCCAGTCTGAAAATGGGCAGAAGCCCTAAATAGACATTTCTCCAAGAAGGTATACAGATTGCCAAAAGACACATGAAAGGATGCTCAACATCACTAATCATTAGAGAAATGCAAATCAAAACTATAATGAGGGGCTTCCCTGGTGGCGCAGTGGTTGAGAGTCTGCCTGCCGATGCAGGGGACACGGGTTCGTGCCCCGGTCCGGGAAGATCCCACTTGCCGCGGAGCGGCTGGGCCCGTGAGCCATGGCTGCTGAGCCTGCATGTCCAGGGCCTGTGCTCCGCGACGGGAGAGGCCACAACAGTGAGAGGCCCATGTACCGGAAAAAAAAAAACCCTGCAAAATGCTGTTTAAATGCTGGAGAGGGTGTGGAGAAAAGGGAACCCTCTTTCACCGTTGGTGGGAATGTAAATTGATATAGCCACTATGGAGAACAGTATGGCAGTTCCTTAAAAAACTAAAAAAGAACTACCATACGACCCAGCAATCCCACTACTGGGCATATACCCTGAGAAAACCATAATTCCAAAAGAGTCATGTACCACAATATTCATTGTGGCACTACTTACAATAGCCAGGACATGGAAGCAACCTAAGTGTCCATCGACAGATGAATGGATAAAGAAGATGTGGCACATATATACAATGGAATATTACTCAGCCATAAAAAGAAACGAAACTGAGTTATTTGTAGTGAGGTGGATGGACCTAGAGTCTGTCCTACAGAGTGAAGTAAGTCAGAAAGAGAAAAACAAATACTGTATGCTAACACATATATATGGAATCTAAAAAAAATGGTTCTGAAGAACCTAGGGGCAGGACAGGAATAAAGACGCAGACATAGAGAATGGACCTGAGGACACGGGGAGGGGGAAGGGTAAGCTGGGACGAAGTGAGAGAGTGACATTGACATATATACACTACCAAATGTAAAACAGACAGCTAGTGGGAAGCAGCGCATAGCACAGGGAGATCAGCTTGGTGCTTTGTGACCACCTAGAGGGGTGGGATAGGGAGGGTGGGAGGGAGATGCAACAGGGAGGGGATATGGGGATATATGTATACATATAGCTGATTCACTTTGTTATACAGCAGAAACTAACACAACATTGTAAAGCAATTATACTCCAATAAAGATGTTAAAAAAAACACATCACTAACGCAAATATATAAAATGCACATTATAAATAGTACATCACTCTCTTATTTATGAGCTGGCTGATATCAAGAATTTCTGATCAGTCTCAAACCTACCAGAAGACTAAAGCGCTACAAACAAGAAGCAGACTATGTCTCAGGGTGGGTTTTTTATCCGCTGAATGTTTTCTTTCCTTGATGGTACCCAACACACTGAAAAACTACCAAAAACATTGAAAACAAGTCACAGCCTCCATCATTCCCTAAGCCCAACTTCATTCTTCTCTGCAAATATCATGACATAACCAGTGCCACTTTCTTCATTAAAAGTCTGGAAAATCTGAAAACTGCCCACCTGAATTTCAAACCCAAATTTTCCTTTATCTTGTTTTTCCACAGTAACAAGCTTTCTGTAAAACAAAAAACAAAAAATTAGGCATGAAGATCAAAGTATAACATTTGGCACATACCTATCATTAAAAGTAACTGTCAATAAAAAATAGCTGATGTTTATGTAAACTGTAGTATATAAGACTCTATGAGTGTGTGTGATATCAACAGCCTGGAAAGCTGTGTTCCTAAATATCTTGCTGAGAAACCAAAAAATAAATTAATTTCTTTACCTTTGAGACCAGAAAAAGTCACCTAAAGAACTTGATCTCGTCAGAGCAAGCTGAAAAACACAAGCACACAGTTATTCAAAGGTCCTTAAGACACATCTGCAAAATGTCCTGTATCACAAAGGACTTTGTTCTTTATCACCTTCTTTGGCCCAGCTCCTGGGAAATTGTTACAGAAAGGCCATAATTTCCATTCTCTATCAATAGCAAAGGAGAGCTGGGAAAGGGACCGTTCAGGCAGTCCACTTGAAAGATTAAATGAGGCTTCCATAATAATACCCCATGGCAAAAGAGTTAATGTAATGTGGCAAAGCTCCAAAGCTTCCAAAAAGAACTTCATATCTAATCTGTATTTAAAATAGCCTCTGAAAGGTTAACCACAGCAATTTATAATCACACTGAAATTCAAAGAAAAATAACACCCATGGAATGGCATATAAGACCCAAATAGTTGATAGTTTGGGGAGATGCTGATGAAATGACTGTGTTTATTGTAATAGTTCAATATGTTACTGTTTTTAGCAGGATAAAATCATCTCTAAAGAACTAACTAATACCCAGAAGCACAATTCGGGTGAAATCAGAGACTCAAAACCTCAATTCTTTTTATGATTTATTTTTGCAATAGTTTTAAAAGAGTACAGTGAGATTTCCAGCCAAGAAAGGAAAGGAACCTCAGAATGATGTAAATGGTATAAATAACAACACATTTACTCCTCTGCATGTTTTGGGAAAAGATCATATAAACATAAGCTTCCAGGATACAGTCTACCATTATAAACAAAGTAAAAGTTAACAAAAAGTGGCATCTTGTTTTTAAGGTAATTATAGTGAGTTTTTGTGTTTTTTGTTTTGTTTATTTGCTTAGGAATTAACAAATGTTAATTAGCTCTTCCTCAAGTGTTGGTCCAGGGCTCCAAAACATAAGCTCATTCTACTAGTTAACCCATGGTGTTTATTTAACTGGCAACCTATTATGCTTCTCATATGTCAAGGACTACAGAAGATATCAGGAGATCAACGCAGGAGTCCAAACAAATAAAAGTAAAATAGAGGATGAAAGCCAGGAGAAAAACACGTAGAAGAAATTAATGCACAAATTAAATCTTCATTAAGGCATTTGTTAGTGGAGAAGCTTACATCACTATAAGGAATTTGAATTACCAAGTACAAAATGTCAGCATTGTCACAAATTTTCTGGAATGGCTCAGTGTTCAGAATTTGGCCACTGGTCAGTAATGTTAATGTAATGAAGACCTGATCTCTTCATAACAATTTGATGTATATTAATTATATTTTCCTCTCTTGTCAGTTTTGGACTTCAAGTCATTTCTATCATCGTGAAGACTGCAATAGGAAGGCTCAGAACCAAAAAAAGAAGAAAGTTCTCTATATTTGCTAAAAAGTATCTATTTTCAATTTATAAGGACTAACTGTGGAAGACCTATAACAGTTTGTATGGTTTGTTTCAGCCTGATTTTGTCCTGATAAGTACCATTAACAAGGGTGGGGACCATTCAGTTATGCAGTAGGCTGCCTTCTTGTGGAAGATAGCAGTAAATTTGATATGCCCAAGCATTCTCAACCTCTCTATTATACTGTACACACATTTTCTTAATCTACTTTCATTATTTCCATTTGCTTGGCTTTGATCCTTATTTCAGATTGTAAAGTACTTAGGTAGGTCATACCTAATCGTGCTATCTGTAAATCATAACTAGGGTTTATATTTAAAATTATTACTCTTGCTGTCAATATTCATCAGATAATGCACATATTCATTCATGTGGAGGCATAGATGTGTATTTATGTGAAGGGCAGATTGGATTAAATACCTCACTTCTGTTCATAATTCCCCGTATCCTTTGGGCCTCTTGGGGAATGTATTTGTTTTACTTTCTACCCCAGCGCCCATCACAGGGCCTGGAGTCGAGTGGAACCGTAAAAACAGCTAAACAGACAAACAGAAGTAAACTACTAGACTACAATAAGAGCAGGTAAGAGGTGGTGGGAGATCCAAAGTAAAAGAATCTTCAACTCTGTCCTTCATTAAATTAAATATCCATAGGAAAAGCTCAAGGGTAGACATTTAAAAATATAAAGTAAAATTTAAAATGAAAGAAAACAAACAATGATAAAAAACAAACACCGGAATCGCAAAACAGCAAGAACCATAGAAAAAGGACTAATAGAAAACAAAGTCAGTCAGCAATGCCTTAATACACAACTGCTAAATGAACGAATGGTGGCAAAAATTAATGAGTCCTTACACTTTTGAGCCTTCCTTCACCAATTTTAAATACCCTTTTGCTAAGCAAATAATCATAGCATTGATGGGAACTTCAAGATTTCATCTCTTCCACCATTAACCTGCCTTCTAAATCAAAAGTTATTCTAGATATAGATTCAAATATAAAATTGTTTAAGTCCACATGACAAATCCCAGACTTCTATAGAGAAGGAAATTTCCCCACCTCTCTCCGTCTAACCTTTCTATCTAGCTAATCAACTAGATTAAGATGGAAATATCTGCCTAGCACAAGGTGAGATGCAGAGCAGATACTCAATTCTTGTGGACTGACTGATCCAGGTCATCAGTGACACAAAGGAAAAACTCAGACTAAATCAAATTATGAATTAGTTTCCACTCTGGATCAGCAATGAGCCTGTCATAGGCACCTAACGTTTAAATAAAAAACAATTTAAATAAATTAAGCACCATCAAATTCTCTGACACGTTCCACATCTTGCCACAATGCTTACTTGGTTTTGATCTGGGCTGTCAGACTCAGGCAATGTGGAAAGGAATGTTCTCAGGGTTCAACCAACTATCTGCCTAAGTGACAAGAAGTACGTCTGAGGTCTTACCAAAGGTCTTACACTTTAGAAGAAGTTTTCCCTGCAGCCCTGGAGTGAGCAGCCCTCTTCTAGAACCTGACCTGTGGAGTCTCTGCTCCCTTGACTGCCCTCCCAGCCTGAGCTTTTTCTTAGGGCTGTGGGGATGACAGCAAAACTCATGAATGAGGAACTGGTGTGCAATGAACAGCATATGCTGGCAACAGCTGTCTTTTATTACACATTATCTAATATGAGAAATCTAGGTTTAGCAGTTTGGCAGGGCTGCACACTACACATTCAATTACATCTGCTGAGTAGACAAAGCTCTTTAACCCCTTGCTAGCCTCTAAAATAAAGATGCCTGGGGTAGGGCTGAGGATCCGTCTCTTGTTTTTAGTCAGATGACTTAAAAGATTAGACATCAATTTTAAAAATGTAATTTTTGCTGCTATGCAATGATTCACAATGCCCCTCTTTAGTGGGAAACCAAGACCAAATACTTCAGCTGTCAGTTTGCAAAAACTAGGAATAATCTGCCCTAGAGCCAGACAGACAGCCCTGCAGAGCAGCTTGTAGTTCCATACTGAAGCCACTTCTGCTGCTAAGTAACAGCCTGTTACTTCCTGTCCCCACTGTGTACTCATTTCCTGAAACTGTTGTGGGTTGGGGAGGGGAGGATACCTATTCACAGATGAGGTATTTTTGTTTTTGTTGTTTGTTTCAAAAGTCCCAAAATTATGTGCTCTGCTCCCTTTCCAGTCCCCTGCCTCATTCTTCCCAATTCTTCCATGAACACAGGTTTGTTTTTTTTTTTCCTGTTTAAGTCAGGAGCTTTAGGATAGCAGGGCTCCACAGAAATATTCTAAGATTAGCAAAATAATAGAGCTGAACTCAAGTTTTTAACTTTAAGGGCCCTTTAGGAACCCAAATAGAATGTTGTGGCTTCTCAGGAAAGTCTCATTGTGGGCCCATGAACCTCTTTTCCAAGAAAAAATTTTTGGATATTGTCTCTAAGCATACCACAGTATGGATTAGAGAATACTTTTCAAATTCTTTTGTAGTGAAAGTAACAGTTTTCTACTAAAAGTATACATTAAATGATCAAAATATCTTGCAGTCAGGAACACTTGGGAGTTTTGGTAATGGATGGGTGTGTAGCCAGAAATAATGTAAAAGCTCCTGAAGGGCAGAACCCATCCCAGAAATACATGCATTACCGGGTTTAGCACAATATTCTGTACCTGAACTTATAAGTGAGATAACCCTTCCAGAAGTTGTCTATTTAGTAATAATTCGATAACCAAAAGAAAACCAGGCAAAGAGAGTCTGTCTATGGTCCCACTAATGCACATTCAGGCTTCTCCTCTGGTTGTCAGGTTTTCACTATAGCATTCAGTGAAAACTACTTTCCAATGACAACCTACTACCCTTGGGAGAGTGGGTGTAAGTTCCAACGGTACTCCTTTAGCATTGCCACATTCATCAAGATGACGTTACTTCGTCCTGTCTCCTTCCTACAGCGTTTTCTATTGTAGAGATTTTTTTTTTTCTAAAACCATGTTCAAAAGTAGGAGCCATACTGGGAGTGTGTCCCCTCCTACAAATAAAGGTACTGAGATCATATAAACACACAGAAATCTGTTTTTAAATAATGTTGAGTATAAACACCCTGGCTAACCAGATAGAGCTTTGCAGAAAGCAAAGCCAATGATAACAAGAAGTATGAATTGTTGACATCAGCCCTGAAAGGGTTGAAAATAACAGTGGGCAGAGAAACACCTGCTTGTGGGATTGCCTCAAAGGGATCTTGTTGCCTTAAGTTCAGTCAGTGCCAAATAGGTGATTATTCTCTAAAAAACCAGTTAAGGGAAATGAACATCCATTCGGAAAATTCTGAACTGTTGGGATAAACTTGCATCAAGCCTCATTGATGATAATTGTACAGAATCAGAAGTATCGTATACAAGATGCTTTGTTTTGCCTTTTTTTTTTTTCTTAAGTAAATCTCACAACAGTAAGAAAAAGCTGTTTGAATAGGAAAAGTCTTACCACGGGAAAGAATATGAGAAAAGGGAAAAGAGAAGAACTGAAAAAGATGAGAACATATGAATAAAATAACTGGTGTGGAAATGTGTGTGTATGTGTAGATATTATCCAGATTATACACACACACACACACACACACTCAGATACATCTCACATGCCTACATCTCTCTCATTATCTTCTGCCAATAGCCTTCTACTGATTCCTCTTTTTAGTTCATGCTACCTTCGCTCAGGCTTAAAACCAGATGTGTCTCCTTCACCGCCTTCACAGCCAAGCCTCTGAGCCTCTTCTGCATTCCTTCGAATCTTCTTTCTCCAACTACAAAAGTTGCTCCCTCACTGCTAGTCTCTACCCACTTACCGACAAGCATGTTGTCCGACTAAGGTTCCTAAAACCTTCTACTCAGTCATGCTCAGTTGTTTCCCTGTGCTGGTCAAATTACTACCTCCTCAGGGGAGGTGTCCAAGTGTTGTGTAAAGCAGCCCAGCTCTGAGGTCCCCCCTCCCCTCCCACACAGACTCTCATCAGGTCCACCTAACACAATAATGTGTTGTTACTTAAACTGCCCTAAGAGCCCCAAGATCTGTGCTGCGGCATTTTAATTATTCCTTTGATCTGGAATACCCTTCAATATCTGGAACATCTATCCTTCAAGGCTGTATTCAAAGACATGTACTTGGATTGGAGCAGGTATGTTATTTTATGTTGTATAATGCCTATTGGTTCTGCCTACTCAATTGTAAACCCTATAAGGCCAGGAAAAAGTGTCCTTCTCATCTTTGTACACCCTACACTGCTGTACATATGAAAAGTGAATAGAGATTTTGGTACTTCCCACAGTTGCTTTAGTTTCAGACAGTAAATTGATAAGAATATTCATTATTATGTTAAACAATGTCATAAAGGCACTTTTGGATTGAAAAGGATCAATCATCCAGACCATGACAAATTATTCCCTTATCTTCATTGTGAAAAATACCAAGGAATCAGCTATGTACATCACTGAAAAAAGATCACAACTCTCCCACTATGCTATAACTCTCTAATCCTGAAATTAGAAGGCTTAAGAGGAACATATGATGTGCATACAAGATTTAAGGGCAAAAATTCATGCTTTAAAGCAATTCTTCATATTTTCTGTATTCAGATATGTACGTGGGGCATTACAGCAAGTTATTTAACCAAAATCTGAAGAGGTGTTTTGGTTTAAATTTTTTTTTACTAGCTGAAAATTGAAAAATGAAAAAAAACCTCACAATAAATCCAGTTGTACATGGATTTTTTCCAAATGAGTTTTCCTCTCTAGGGAAATACTTTTCAATAAAAATTAAAATAATAGCATAATTATTGAGCACATACTACATGTCAGTCACTCTGTTAAGCACTGTACATTTCCTCACTTAAGCCGCAGAAGAGCCCCACTGGCTGGTCTATTATTATCTTCATTTTAGAAAAAACAAAACTGAATCTTAGAGAAGAGTGTGACTCTACTCAAGATTCCACAGCTAGTAAGTGGTGGATCTTGCACTCATTTATCCCATTAAGAGTCTTAATTCCCAATAGTGTGAGGTATGTGCCAGTGCCCCAGAACTGAAGATAATTTAGTCAATAAAATTTGCCCTAAAAAAAGTATTCTCATTGGATTATGAACTAAAATGACTATCAACGACTGGGAGAGAGGCTGGGAGGGAAGGAATTAATGGGAGACATTGGAAAAAGGAAAAAGGAACACTAACTCTCAAGCTGGTTGTGTCTACATACACCTTCTTCAAGCTGATGCGCTCAATGATTTTTATTTTACCTGAACACCTCTTCCAGCGAGAAAAACAATCTTCTTTTAACTTTTGCCTTAAAAGTGTTGTCTTATAGTCTTAAATCTTCAAGGTTTAAGGATTAGCGCAGGAGCTCTCTGGGTTCCTCACCTCCTTCCTCACCCAAACCCTGAGCCACTAATTCCAAAGCAGCTAAAATAACATTTTTAGTATGCAGTCAGACAAACATATCACTCTGCCCTCAAGAGAACATGAACACTCTAAAAGGTACAAAATAGCAATCATACCTGCTTTCTTCCCCGAGGCAAAGTAGCCACAGTATCTGCCAGCATTTGAAGCCTTCTATTATCATCCATGGGAAAGCTGCCTGTGAGTGTGGGGTAAGAGCTATACGCTGGACCAGCGCAGTACTCCACGAAATTGCCATTGCCGCTCTGTTGCATGAGCCTTTGTAAAGACATTGTGAATAAAGATTACTCTAGCTAGCACATGGCTGAGTGGCCTTGCAGGCTGGGGGAAGCTAAAAGCATAACCCTCTGACAAGTAATCAAAAGTAGCAAAGCAGAGAGAGCCCATGTGACTTCTGTGGTTTGAGGTACTTGTTACACAAACCCTATCTTGCACCTCACTCCCATTTCTCAGTGCTCTTTTCTTTAAGCCCCTGAGAAAACCTAAAGCTAGTTTATACCATTAAAATAAGTCGACTTATTTTTTTTTCTCCTTCAAACAGCCAGAACTCTTATGCTTTTATGTTCTATGGCAAGTTGTGTTCAAAACACCATCTGCCTTTTTTATTTCAAAGCAAAAAGAAAAACTTCCCGTAATTCTGCCATTTGTTTGCCATCCACTAGGCTACTTAATATGGTCAGTGCAATGTAAAAGTCAGGATGTGCGGACATTGAGTTCTTGTGAATATAAGCAAGACTTACAGGATCCAGTCATAAGGTCCTCTCACGAAGTCCTTGGAATGTACTTTCCCCAAAGTACATCTTAGCTCATTAATGGTCATCAAAAAGGCATTATATCTGCCACGTGGTCTGTGACCATTCAGCATTCTTCTGATTGCCCTTTCACTATTTTGTCCTCACTAAAATTATCCATTATCTTTACAAAGAACAACGGGAGAGGAAGACCAGCCCATTTAGAGCACAAAGTTGGCCATATCTTAGACTGGAATTTGTCACAGCATCAGCAAGTGGTCCCAGCGGAGGAATGAGGAGGCCATGAAAATAACAGGTAGACCAAGGTGGCACAAGAATGTTGCCAGTTGGTCCCTGCCTATGCATATGGGCCAAGGGTACCATCATGAATTACTCAAGATCACAGATGCTTTTATTGGCTGGGGGGTGGGGGGATTGGGGACATGCAGTTTTAAGAGACTTGATTTTAGAGAAGGAGCAGTGTATGTAAGTAGAAGGAAGATTCAAAACAAAGGTCAAAATGAGAAGTTTTGCATAGTATAAAAAGTCAATTGTCATTTTCAAAATCATTTGGAAGGTCAATAGTAGAATTTTAGAGACAGAAAGAAAGTCTTTGAACTAAAATGGAAGTCAATGTGAATTCAGCTCAAGCAGAACCTGCCAAATGTAAATTGTAAAATCTTCTGAGTTAACGGTGCTTCAAGAGATGGAGCCACCTCAAAACTTTTTAAAACCCTATCACAGCATGACTCATTACCATTGGAATTGGATAATGACATGAACAAAATGATGTCTCCAAAGACATAAAAAGATCTAAATCAGGGATTACAAACACATATGCCGTCTGGGTTCAGGTAGGTAAAGTAATATAACATATATGTGTAAAACAAAAGGGAGTGATAGAGACTTTGGCAACTAAAAATATGGTCAATTATAAAGACATTTATGTAATGTGTGTGTGTGTGTGTGTGTGTGTGTGTGTGTGTGTGTGTGTGTGAGAGAGAGAGAGAGAGAGAGACAGAGACAGAGACAGAGACAGAGACAGAGAGACAGAGAGACAGAGAGAGAGAGAGAGATTGATTTTAAAAACATCTCCAGGCTGCTAGAAGGTACATGACTTAAATCAACACTGTCACTTGAGGACAGCCGTCTACCTGCCCTCTGGGAATTTTATAAAATTAGGGAAATATTTTAATATTTCAAAATACCAAATGGAAACTACATATTTGCCTGCAGAGACAGAAGAGACAGAGACAGAGAGACAGAGAGACAGAGAGAGAGAGAGAGATTGATTTTAAAAACATCTCCAGGCTGCTAGAAGGTACATGACTTAAATCAACACTGTCACTTGAGGACAGCCGTCTACCTGCCCTCTGGGAATTTTATAAAATTAGGGAAATATTTTAATATTTCAAAATACCAAATGGAAACTACATATTTGCCTGATATAAGGCCACTAGGCCAACCAACAACCAAGTTTTATAGATGGATGCTAAAATTGTATCAATTTAGTTGTGTGATACTAATCTTAAGCTAATATAAATTGTAGAAATCTATTATTAAATGAAGAAATTGGAAAATAAATTATCTTTTTACTTAATTTATGAAATGTGTTTAACAAGTAGAATATTTCAAATCATGAGATCCATGGCTGTAAAATTGGAGTCAAAGGCAAGTTTGACATTCAGCCAGTACATACTGGTATGGTCACACTTGTTAATTACATATTTATGACTTGGTCTATTTTGATTGGTCAGTTCCCTGTTCTGATTGTCAGGACCTGTGTCATACTAGTTATTAAATATTTTTAATAACATCCCTGATCAAAAGTATCCTTTGTGACAAAATGTGGGGAAAAACTAATCTTTCCATACAAATGTGACTTCAACCCTCAAACCTTGATTTACAAAGGTGTTCTACTATTTACAACTTCTCTTTCCTATAGAATTTACCTTAAGACAAATATAATAGCCTGAAGCTGTCTTCCCCTTCATCATCCCCTTTATTTTATAATAAAATGAAGCCAGATCAAGCTATCTACCTACACAAATGATTTCAGGAGCCTGAAGCTGTCTTCCTCTTCATCTTCCCCTTTATTTTATAATAAAATGAAACCAGATCAAGCTATCTACCTGTTCAAAAGATTTCACGAGTCCCTCATTATCCATAAAATAAAATTAAAAGTAAAATTAAATTAAAGAATTTCAAGTTCTTACCTAACTTCATCTCTGAAATGTCATATCACTTTTTTTAGAGACATCAATGGTTTAATGGATGGGGGATCTTACACATCTGAAGAAAGGTCCTGGAGCAATACCCCACTGTGTGCTGCAGACGGAGGGCAGGACATGGTATCTGCCTTCGCTCTCATATCACTTTTTTCAGATCATTCTTTTAAGACTTAATATTTTATTGTTAGACTACAGTTAATTGTACACAAGTCTGTTTCTACACTGTCTAATTTCCTCTAATTACCTTGAGCACAAGGCCCATCTCTTATCTTTAAATTTACACTCATGTCCTATATCTATAGGTGTTCAGTAAATGTTTGTTAAGAAAAAGAAAAGGGTAGAGCAGTAGATATTTAACAAAATGAATTCAACAATATTGTTCTAAAACATCAAAGAAGAAAAACTAAATTGGCAGAAAATTTTGGGGCTATTAACCCATATTCCAAAGTGCTATAGTCTTCTATAAGAGTGATCTGAAAGATGTGGACAGAATCTTTTACAGTAGTCAAAGTAGTCAAAAAATCATGAGATTAGATCCAGGTTACTTTATCAGTGCTATACCAAATTTTCAAGATAAATACAAATCTTATATTAATAGTCCCAGAGCATAAAACAAGATGTATTCTCTAAAGCTAATTAATCTGATCCTAAACTATATAGAGAGGCAAAAATGGAAGGAAGGAAGGAGTGAAGGAAGGAAGGAAGGAAGGAAATGAGGGAGGAAATTAAGCTAATTAAACTAATCTCACTTATTAATTCTGATACAATTAAAATATCAAATTGAGTCCAATAGTGTATTAAAAATAATACCTCTCAACGAAGTAGGATGTACCCCAGGAATACAAGGATACTTCAACTTTAGGATATAAAATACTAACGGAAGTCACTAAATCTCTGGATGAAAGAAGAAATTCAATGCAATAGACACTGACAGTATAGTGATTCATCTTTGCTTTGAAAAATCCTAAATAAATGAGGAATAGAAGGAAAACTTTCTTAACATAATGAAAGGTATCTACCAGAAACACCCACAAAATATTATCTTCAATGTTGAAATGCGTTTCCATTACAGTGAGAAGGAAAGCACAGATGACAATAGCCCTCACCACTGATCACTGTTGTAGTTCATATCACAGATAGGAGGTATAGAATTGGTAAAGAAAGAGACAAAACTATAAGGTTTGTTGGTGATATGGTTTCATAACTAGAATATCCAAGACAATCCACTGAAGAACAGACTTAATAAGATAGTTTTCCTAGATGTAAGATTCTAAGGGTAACATATAAAAAGAAATAAATTTCTCATACAGCAGCAGTGGATGATATGAACTGGTAATATCGGAGGAAAGAAATACTATCAAAATAGCCAAAAATTCATAAAACAGGAATGAACTTAGCAAGCATTTTTAAGATTTTATGAAGAACATTATAAAGTCCAGAGTAAGGGAAAAAATACCATGTTCCCATATGAGAAGAGTCCTTCTTGTAAAGATGTCTATTATCCCCAAATTTTCAAAAATATCCAATGTACTGAATTCAAAATCCACACAGGTTTTGTTTGTTTGTTTGCTTGCTTGTTTATAAAATTTGACATACATTCTTACACTCATCTGAAAGAGAAAGTGCACAAGACGAGCTAAGAAAAATTTGAAAATAATAATGGTAGGGGAGAGACGTAAGGATGAGCATTGAGAAAATTACCCTACTTGGGTATCAGAAAATATTACAAGAGTTAGTTGGACTGTATGGTCAAATAGGTCAATGAAAAGAATACTGACAAATCAAATATTGTCAATGAATAGAGAATCCCAAAACATATCCATGAATATTCAGAAATTTACTATATCATTAACTTATTTTAATTCATTAGGAAAAGAATAGCCCCTTCAATAAATGGGTTGGTACCCATGTGGAAACAATTAAGTTATAGTCTTTTATTACATTATAATAATAAATTCCAGATGGCTTAAGGAGTTAAGTATAAAAATAATTTTAAATATTCAAAATAACAGCAAAAATATAGAGTATTTTAGTAAGATTCGATTGGGAATGGTTTTCCTAACAATACAGAGAAGTCCAGAGAGCATTAGTAACATAAATATTAATAACTTCCATTCAAAAAAAAAAAAACTTCCGTTCAATGGAAGCTATAATATACATAGGTTAAAGCTAAATGACAACAAGAAATTATTTGTGATACATAATTGATTAAAGGCCATAATACATAAGGAATACTTTATTCTTTGAAGAAAAGTATTTTTAGACGATTAAAGGCTCGGAACAAATAATTTACAGAGAAAGCTCAAATCATCAATATTCTTATTAAAGGATGTTCAAACTTACTAGTAATCAGGAAAGTAAAACTTGAAACAACAG